ATAATACTTTTATTACCCTTAGTTTGTGTTTCCCTGCCCTTCTGTCCTGTTTCCCGACTTCCTTCACGCTACAGCGGTCATTGCGCACTTTAGTTTGTGTTAATAAGTAAATGTAATTAGACAGTGCTATACATACGTACGTACGCTTGCCAGACTTTGTATAGCGTTTGGTTCCTGAATGCTTTGTACTTTAATATTACATTGCATTTTCGTCAGAATCAATCAATGTTAATCATATGTCAGTACTTTTATAATACATGAAGAAGCTGTTCGGATATATGTTTTTTCGGTGTGTTTTGGTCACGTGATTTTGATAGGCCAATAGCAGGACGATAATCTCTATATTTTGCTTTCCAGACGATCACGTCACTGTCAACAACAAATCCAGATGCATTATTTCTTCTTCCATGTAACTATAACTTGGACTTCACTAATTCATCGATGGTAAGTTGGATATGAATGGTTATCTATGAACACGCAAGACTACACTGTGAATAGACAAATATTCATATTCAGTGTTATATTTATTGCAAATCATGAAAAATACTAGTACATGTATACCCAGTAGCGCACTATTAATATTAAGATGAGGTCATTATATTAAATTGTGTACACCCTAAGTTATTTGTTTTCAACCGTGTTTCCCCTAGATGGACTGTCCTTGTAATACACGACAAGAAGATGGCCATCCACCTGACTTTCTTGAGAATCTCATAAACACATCACACTTATCACGTGTTTACTCTCTTTCAGGACTGTTATCTTCAGATGGGAAATATGTTATCTTTCCAATCGCCCGAATCTTTTGGCAATGATCCATGGCTAAATATCGATTATCACCAATCATTTAGGAATCAATATTTCAGTTTGTTGGATTACGACGGTAATCTATTTCGTCATAAAATCATTGGATGTGGAATTAATATTGCCAGACCAGAGAAGATTGTAAAGTTGGTAAGTTCATTGACTTTCAATCGCACACTTTGTGTTTTCTGGTTTTAAACTATTAATTAAATCAAGTAATATATTCAGATCGCTATGACGATAGGTTAAATGACCTGAGTTAACCACATACAATATAACGTTTTTAGCCCCCTTCAACAATTTGTGAGAGCAAATAAACAGATCGATTTTGGAAAAAAATGTTATTTAAGTTTCAGACATAATATAAATATTAACACGAATAAACACATAACAACGAAAATAAAACAACTATCGTCTTTGCAAGTTGGTCATTTTTATGATTTTATTACTCCCCCAGTTCATTAAAATGAATTATTTCTTTCTGTTTATTTCATTAGTTCCGTAATGGCGAGCTGGATTGTTCCGTCTTCTTTATGAGAGAAACCATGATTCTGAGAACTCATACATATTTCATAGGAAATATACCGGTAAGTAATACTACTTTGTCGAATTAGATATAATATGTAGTTTTATTTATTTTGTCTTCATGAATATAATGTAAAATACATTCGTGCTATTATGATATTAAACATTGAAATCATAAACTGAGCGCCAACCGAAATATTTCGAAATATTGCTCGGTGACATTAACTCAAATGTCATATATTATTATTTTATTTTTATTTCTACTTCTTATTAACGTCAGCCCAATGACGGAAAATCAACCAATACAATACTTTTTTCTCACAGACTGAAAAAGATTCTCCTCCGATCGAAATTACCCTCTCGCTCCAATCTACGTTCGATCGTTTTTATCAAATGCTAGAAAGAATTGCCACATACTGGACCGGTAAGTTAAATACGCGTGCTTAATGACGTCAGAATAATATATGATGTAATGCCTTAGCCCATTTTCGTGAAGCCATATACGTTATTGATATGGGGGGGGGGGGTCAATTCGATGATTTTTTTTTATTTGTAACCCGAAATCATTTTTATTTTTGATCTTGATTTTAAAATTTATATATATTTGAATGACAAGTTGAAATAATGCGTTCTAATTATTATATTTTACACTCACGCCTTGAACAAACCTAATGTTGTTATTGACAGGCCCCATCAGTGTTGCTGTTTATGCCACGGACACCCAAGTTCAACTTATTCCCGCCATGTTTGAAATGTCTCAGATTTTGAAGAACCGTAACAACGTAGCAGTGCACGTGGGATTTGTCGAGAGAGAAGTGGTAAGCTATTTTAACTTTCATTCTTCTATTTTTATTGAAGTGTAACTCCAAAACTAACACAACACGATTAGCCTTCCTGTCACGCTGTACTTAAGCATAGTGTCTGAATCATTGTTATTTTCATATTGCGTCATGAGTTCTCAAAAAAAACTTATGTAGATTTAATTTTCACTGAAGCCAGAATTTGGATTGACACATGAATTTCATGCAAATTACAGGTAATTTTTTTCACTGGATTTGTTTTCCCTGATATACACCATAGTACATAGTGACATTAATTAAATTACGTAAATTCATGAATAAATATGTAAATTCATAATCCGTAAAAGGGCAGTATACTATAACATTACTCGCTACATAAATAAATAAAGTACATGATTTTTTTCGTATCCGGAACTCTATAGCTTAATAGACCAACACTGATCTCATTTACCTGACCAGTATTTTTTCCATGAAACATTATAGGGTCAATATCCATTTAATCACATGAGAAATATTGCCATGGAAGAGGTCAATACAACCTACCTATACATCGGTGAAATTGATTTCCTTTATAAGCCTACGTTGTATGAAGAGCTAAAGTAAGTTTCAAGGCATTTATTTATTTATTTATTTATTTATTTATTTATTTATTTATTTATTTATTTATTTATTTATTTATTTATTTATTTATTTATTTATTTATTTATTTATTTATTTATTTATTTATTTATTTATTTGTTTATTTTTATTTTTTTATTTGGGTCACTTGACTATAATATACATTATATTTGCTTCCAGGGACATTGTTCAGTGGTTCGTGACAAGTGGAGGTGGAATGGAAATGAAGGTTAGTTATCCGTAATTCAAAATATTGTGACCATAATAGAAATTGGCAAGTGTGGTAGAACACCATGTGTTACATATTTCATTAGTTGCAAGCTTGTTACATTTAAATCATTCATGATTTCACAGGCTTTGGTTGTACCTGCATATGAAGTAAACCGACTGAATGTAAGTTATATCCCAAGTACCAAGGCTGAATTGATTAGACTGTGGGATAATGAAGATCTACATCTCTTCCAGTAAGTTCCAATTATTGCTCACATAAATTTTACCAATAACATAGGTAGTCTTGTATTTATGCAAATTGAACTGTGATATATCGCTATACTTTCATAGAGTGTGTATGACACTGATAGTCCCATATGCAACACAGCTTGTCATAACGCGAGTCAGCACATATTTGAACAGAACAACTGTGGTAGTAAGAATGTAGGATTGGATATTAAATATGCTAATTATGTATCTCATCGTATCCACAGCTTCTGGGATTTCCCTCAAGGTCATTTACCATCTAATTATACCAAGATTATGTTAGAGGACCAGCCATACCCTGTAAGTCTATGCAACTTTTAATTAGAATTCACACAAATCATATATTTTGTTTTCAGTTTATTCCTAAATTTCTTAACGTGAATTACAGCATAACTAATTCTTTGTGCGCACATTATTTTTCAGATTATCTGGGAGAAGGGGTATGAACCATACGTGGTGTTATTGAACAAAGCTCTTCCTGACTTTCCTCTACGATTTTCGGGACAGGGTCACGACAAAATTGCGTTTATTCACATTCTCGTACTTATGGGGTAAGTTTCATCCCATAAAAGCGATCTTGAATTGTCTATCACTATATCATGGAAACGAATAGTGGAATCACAATTCGATTATTAGAATGCAGAATTATTAAATGTTAAAAATACTGAGTTATGTCACTGAAATCTGACGGTTATCTTATACATGTTTAAGTTGATTTCATTGTATAAACATGTGGGAATGCAAGTTATATTCATATTTTAGTACATGTACTGACATTTCATTGCTGCAGTTATTTTAACATGTGTGTTAACAATGTATACTTTGATCTAGTAACATCCTTGTACAATATGGTAAACGTCACTATAATGTTTTCCTTTCTCATTCCTAGTTATGAATACTGGGTGTTGCCAGATTGCTGGATGGTCCACACTCCCCATTGGCCAAGTCCAAGTAGAGCTGCCTGGTTGGAAGATGTTAACTACAATCAGTAAGTGTTACAGTTCTATAAATATGAATCCGCGTACTAGATATAGATAGTGTGTCGTTTTCTGCACGAAATTGCTTGATATATGTAACCACTGGCTAGACCACGTATGTTTAGTACAAAACTAGTTTGGAGTGAAATGAAAGATAACAGCAGAATATTTGGATATATTTTTTCTTTTGGTGGTATTTTTTTTGATACAATACAATACTAGTCACAAAGCCACAAGGAATGAGATTCATAATATATTTACTAATCCTCGCTTTCTATTTCCCCAAAACAGATGTGTATATGCAGTTGCCTGGAAATTCTTCAAAGACTTGGAAGCTAAATACGGTACCGCAAACAGTAAATTGTTCCAGTAAGACGACGATGGAGTGCGCACATCTGTCTTCCAGTACTGTGTTCATATTCTCGCGAGAGCTGCGACTACATGTGATGAACATATATATGACTCATTGACATTTAAAACAGACGCACATTTGAATTTGTAATAATTCCGATTTATACTTGTTTCTGCTACAGATGTCAGATCATTTAACCTAAATTACGATTTCCACTACCGCGTTTGCGGTGCTTGTAATATTTGTCTGCCCATGCCCTTAGATATCCGTGCACTGATAAATCAAAGTAGTCTTCTACACGACCACGTGTCTACGTATTTTTTAAAGAAAGAAACAAAAAGAGAACAGAATTAATTGTTCTTTTTGACATTTTGTAACTGTACTCTACTTTGATTTTATTTGAATTTGAATATTTTACCATAATAGCTAATATTAGCCAGCTGTCATGCAAGCTGTGTGCACTAGATCTATCAAAACACGGTGCCTCCAATACGTGTTTATGTTTCTTGTATAATGATAATGCTTTTCTTATTCTGAAGATAACATGATTATTAGTAATACCGGTATATATTTCGTATATCGACTCTCTTAGTTTGAACACAGCATTTTCTTAATGTAAATGTTTTATTTGACAATGATAAGCTATTTTCCCCCTTTTTTGCTGGTGTTGTGCGACCTTACACACAACCCTAGTTTAGATGAGTTGACGATGGTGTGATAAATCGGAATCTGCCACGTGACAATATTTATTTTAGGAGCGTTCGAGTGATGGGGACAAATCAGCCAACTTTAAAAAAAAAACAGAATTTTATAATGTAATGGTGTGGTGTGGTGTACACGTTCAACGGGGCTCATAATATGGTCTGTAGATGACACTATCATGAACTATTAACATACGTCAAACATAAATGTATAATGTCAAAGTAAATATTTGAAATACTTGAAATAAAGAAAATTTTATCCAAATTTGACTCAGTGTTTTTTAGTAGTAAAGTGGTTTGTATTCTGTAGTATTATTTGTATAGCTTCCACACTAAGTCAGAATTATTTGTATATCATGAGACCGAAGACGAAGTATTTCGTCAAACGTCTTCATTTGTATAGTTATCCAAACTAAATCCCATATGATGTACGGGTTATAGATATTGACTCCCAATGCTAACCTCATGATTCGAACTATTCCAATAGCCGAGAAAGAGCTATCATTCACCTCTAAAATTCCAAACCTTGACACTTTGCCAAGCTCTAAGTTTAAAAGCGATTAACACCAAAACAGTATGTGAATTACTAATCTGCATAATACACCAACTGGAATTGTGATTGTTAATTGTATGCATATGAAAAAAACCGCGGTGATATAAAATCTACTGAAATCCAGTGTAGAGATACAAAAATAAACAAGGTGCAATACTTTTTAACTTGACACCTTACGTAGTTATGAAATGATCGAAATCAACAGTATGGACATTAAATTTTATGCTGTAAATCGTTAATAAAAATCGAGTTGTAAAGTGTGGGAATCGGGACTAGGTTTGATACCTATAGGTCATCAAAACTAGTTTGCATATTTGCTGTACATTTCCTGAACACTAAATTTGAAGTTGGTGTCGTTTATGGGAGCGTAACTTCTGTAGCAGGGCATTGCTTCATATATACTGTCAGTCAAATATATGTACAAGGCTCTCTGATTGGCCTGACTGTTAGTTGTTAGGACTGGGGAGCCAATCGGGCACATTCTTGTAAGTAGTAGCTTCGCTTTTAGTTTGCGTTGTTACTGCTCCATGCAATACTTTCCGTGTGTCGTGCCTTATCCACTCCAACCATATTTGGAGATCTCTACTACGCTGTACCAAAGGCACAGTTTTAACTAGTGTGAATTTCAACTTTAAGCTGTCGTAGTAATATAAATTAATCGTTTATCTTGAAATTAAAATTTTAATTAAATCAAGCAATAATTGTCAATATAATAATCACTTATTCGTCGCGATCTTATCTTTCAATAGAAATTCAACATAGTTCTGCATGATCATACATACTTACGTAATACGAAGTGCAACGACGTCATGTGTGGGGACGTGGTTATTTTGTTACAATTAACATGCAGCCAATCAAATACTTTCACACCGACCTCTTTGGTATTACCTGGTCCTTAATAGTGTCTGCTGTGATGGACGAGTGGTTACGGCGTTGGACTCGAAATCCAATAGCGTCTCCCCACACAGGTTCGAACCCTGTTCGCAGCGATATTTTTACTAAATAAATAATAACACAATTTGTGGGGACAATATTACGATTCGTTGTCTGCCCAGAGGATGTTGATCATGACCATAATATTGAAGTCAATGCGAAGTTACTTACACGATTCCCGGCTATTGTACCTATTTATTAAACCTAGCAAATAGACCAATCAGCTATATGCTTCCACCCTCAAATAATATCATCACAAGTCTACATATGTATGCAAGCTACTAATAACTGGCAAAACTATATTTATGAATCTTGAAAAGTTGTAAAACTATTGTGCAACACAAAAATGTAAGACCTGTTCACATATTGCTGTCAGCTGAAATAGCCGAGTGGTTAAAGCGATGACATACAATTTGATCTTCCTGCACAGGATCGAATTCTGATCACAGCGTCTACCAATTTAGTTAATTTAAAATCATCCAAGAGCTTTGTGGCAACTTACTGTTTGTACATTGGTTAAATGATTGATACCGCGAACAGCCTATCAGTGACAAGGATGCAGCTGCGAATTCTTTCATTATTAAGTGGCAAGGCATGATGTAACTGTGCATAATTTCTCACAGCAAACCTAAAAGCAGCTGGTCTGAAAATGTCAATGATTTGTTGAAATGATGAAGCTGGAAATTACTAAATAGTTTGATGTTTTGCTAGAGTAGTGTTCTTTTGTCAACAATAAACTAAACCATATGATTCTAGGAGCACCATCAACACCTAGTATCGTTTTCAATGACGAAACACGGTAATATGCATATTAGCTGCCATGTTACGGTTCTTACCATGGTGATTATATTTCCCAAAGATCGACAACATTTTTAGCACCTCTATAAATTGTCTTTCACCAGACTTTGAGGTAAATTTGAAATTCCGATCACACATTGCAAAACGTACTTTTGAAAAACAAAAAGTGCAGACTCCTTGGGAATTTAATAGGGCCCAAAATGATAGTAAGCCAGTAAAAATATTTTTGAGAAATCAATGTACAATTACAAATAGTACGAATTATAGAGAGCACTGAGTAATTTAATGTGATGTAACAAGTGTGCACATTACTAATCTACATGTAGACGAATCGAAACTGTGGTTATAACTAATATTCATATGAAAAATGCATACTAATTTGCATTTGGCAAAAACGTGTTGCTGGTTACAGATCTACATAGAACAGAAGACCAAGTGTGGAGTTACAGAAAAGAACACGCAGCTAGAACAATGGATCATATGAGTATATGTAGAACATTAGAATAAATTGTCTTTAATTGTATGTATGATGTCGAAATGCATGTATTTGACGTCGTTTTTCAACACGAGAAAAAAATCAATTCTAATGTGAACAAAATTGTCGCCGTGTCTCTCTATCGTTACAACTACTGCCGCATATTCATAGAAGCCCCCAGGAATAACGTTATTATCAGCGCATATATCAACCATATCGCTAATGCTAACACAAAGTGTTTTTTATACTAATACGTTCCTGGTCAACAAATTGCATTTTTACTAAAACATGCTTGAAGCAAAATTGATCGCCTTTCTGTATATTTAGAGCATTGAAATAAAAAATATAGTTCATGCTATAGAAACAATTACATTCCGTTTCAGACACTTCCTGTCCCCCGAAATGCCTGTTTCATTTGCACACCCAGAAAATAAAGAATGGCTCCATTCTATATTGAAAACCTTATATGAATCATATTTCAATGCAGAGAAAGCATGGGCACCAAAAAGTGAGATAAAATGTCAAATTTACAATTACAATTATTATTATTTAAAGTTTTATAGTAATGCCACGACCAAATGCACTCCAGCAGCATATGTCAGGGTATTAGTCCCTCAGCAGGACTGTGGTCAGGGCGTTCACTTTCACAACGTAATCAAAAATGTAAATAAACGAACACTGAGTTACTTGTGTTGTAATTGCTCAATATGCAAATTAATAATTTGTATTGCATCCAAACATTTATTAGCGACGTTGTTTTGTGACGTGGCAAGAAGTCAAGTAATAATTCAATGTGACACTGAATCCGGCCATTGTTACTCCTGTAGCAAATTTAAAAGTGAAATACTGTAATTATTGCAACCCAGAATATTTCGAACGAAAAGTAAATCCATTGGCAATTAGCTTTCATCAGCTGTGATGGCCGAGTGGTTAAGGCGTTGGACTCGAAATCCAATGGGGTCTCCCCGCACAGGTTCGAACCCTGTTCGCAGCGTCAGCTTTTTTTATCACAATTTGGACACTGTAACTATAGTAACGTATATTTTTTGGTCAATCAATTTGAAAAATAATATATCAGAAGGTATTAATACAATTAAAAATAATCTATAAAAATAATGAGCAGAATCTTCCGGATTAACATATACAGGTTCTATTTAATTTAGTCCTAAACTAGCTGAAAAACTAGAACATAGGTGGTATAAAGCCAATTTGTATTAGTTATTGGATTGGAGAAAGAGGTAGTTGATCTGAATGAATACTACCACAAGGTTAACCTTGAAGTGAGTAGGATTCTCGGCACAAATGATGTGAAAAAGATACAGATAAAACATCATGCTACAGAAAATCTTCCCTCATAAACAGCAAACGAAATAGACATAACTCAACAGGTGTAAAAACAACGGAAAGCGCAATCTTGACGACGTATTAATATGTAAAGGATAACGCACGAGTGGCGTGCACTCGTTCACATATTTGACCGCGATGAGGGCAAAGGCCCGAGTGGTGGTCATTATGTGATTAATGCACGATACGAGTGCATTATATGACTTACGTGATCAACACCTGGTGTTTGCACTTGTCAATCACATTCAACTAACTGTGTTGGTATACATTCGTACACGTGTACCGGGTTTTGTTTTCCCATAATGTGCATAAGTGTACATATTGAATATATCGCAGGTGGTCGACGTTGTAACCGACTACTACGACTACAAATTTCTAGTAGACCAAAGCAAGGTATTTAAAGTTTACATAGCGGGTGGGCAATATCTAAATAATGCCCGCACGTATTATCTAGAGAATGTCTAGCACCTAAACAATCGCAAAGACTGACCCACAAAAACAACAACAAAGATAACATGAAGTGTTGTTTTATATGCAAACTCCACCTTGACGGTCTCTATTTGGCAAAAATGCGGATATTTGTGATGAAGTGCGGAACTTGAATATAATACTATAATTATAAACAAGGAAACCGACGTCAACATGGTTATATTATGTCATTGATTTGTTTTATCTCTAATTTTGTTTGTTTTTAACAATTTTTACATTTTTAAAATGACCCTCCACAACGACAGTTAAACAATTAAATGTAAATCTGAAATATAACCTTCCCAAATGCCACTTTGAAACTGCTTTTAACCCAATGTCAGTCCTTAACCTTAATTAACTGATTGACACCTCTATGCGTATTTCTTTTTATTCAACTGCTAAAGATCATTATTATTATTCATTTATTTATTTTTATTTTGTTCATAGGCAGATATTACAGACTTTCTAAAAAAAGTTACGTTTTATGAAAAAAGCTATACAATATTTTATGAAACTAAATGGCTTCCATCATAATTTAAACAACATGCGGCTAGTGTAGACACAGCTTAAAGCTTAGGGCAGTTTTGCTGAAGTCTTTAAAAATCTTTAGTGTAAGGTAAAGTTACGTAAACAACCCCTGAAAATTAATTGATCATACTATGGAAGACAATTAACGAGTTAACACCAACATTAAAGACACAATCAGATACTACTAGATCATGACATCATATTTTCGTCATCCAAGTAATATATATCAAAACAATAATAATAATAATAATATTGCTAACACCCAGTTTATAAATTTTTACCATATAATCGCCCTGTCTGGCGTATCTCTTAATCAACTAAAATTAGCTAAATTCATCCCATTTTCAAAAACAATTACCCTGAAATTACAGACTAATTTGAATATTTCTGTGTTAAATGGAAATGTTCAACAATGAAAAAAAATATTATTCAAGGAGCCAATTAGCCAATCAAAAAGTGTTCAAGGTTCTACGTGTAATGAGGAGTTCGTATGCAAGGAATTTCTTCATGCAAATACCATTTTGTTTACGCGGAATTGGCTCAATGACACCCTCAGCGTATTGTTTGGCTGTGAAAGTTTGGTAATTTTCCCCGATGTGTAGTAATCTGAAAAACCCGTTTTTCCATTTTTCTCTTTTTATGGTTTCGAACCTTATTCAAGATAACGGCCTCTATATAGCCCTGAATATCCGTAAAGTAATCGCATTTATTTTATTACACTTGTACGCAAGTTGAGTGCATGTCTGTATGTGGTAACACACTGTTTTTTTATTGCGGCATACTAACCTATAAACTACTAGACTCATACGTCATATACAAACTGAAGTATGAATATGGAATTGCACTGGTAATTCAAACTTTATGTTAAAATTAAATCCTGATATATGTAACAGCTGCTAAACTTTTGATCACGGCTTGTGGAGTCGGTCTATTTATCAAAAATTATGTTTCTGATTTCTCACTATCGAAACCACGTCACACTGGTCGATTTAAATGTAAAACGGGGAAATGAGTCTGATTGAAGTTTCCTAGCAGCAAAATACATTCAAATTCAGTTCCGAAGTTTCATCAATTATTATTTGCACGTATTCTACTAGTTTGCGTATTAGTATACATATACCCGTACAATGTACCCATTTCCTATTATGCCCAACTCCTTAAAATTGTGGACAATCCTGTCCAGATGTATTTTATTTGCGTTCATATGTGCATTGCTATCCCATAATACTACGATCGTGATTTGACATGTAACACATACATAAGCAAAGTAAATTAACAATGTTGTCTTAAACAATAGATTTATTACAAGTCGGTGAAATTTTTTTCAATTGCTGATCGATGTGCATATGCGCCAATAATTGCTTGGCGGTATATGTGTCTTGGTCAAGCAATATTTCCATCTGACATGCCAGCAGACATTGTACTCTATTGTGCTATAAAAATCGTAATTATTGCAAACAGTGATATTAGTAAAGACATAGAGCCTCGAACCAAAATTGTGCAGATTGTGGCAATCGAGAACAAATGTCGTGGTACTATCAATTTAACTCCGAATATCAGCCCCGTGTGAACACTTGTAATGTAGTTTTCAATGGCCATGAGTGTAAACTCAAGCCGCGACACTAATCAGAACCATTCCAAACCACAGCTGTTGTAGCTTTCGCTACACGTTTACAATTATTACCCATTGTACACGATGCGATTATACACAACATATATTTGTGTAGTGCACCCCACATAAGTCCTGATACCGCGTCCACATGAGCCCCACTGTCCCGCGAACCACGTAAATTAAACGACCTGATATTACTTACAGCGCATTGCTTATTTCAAAGCTTACATACATTTGAAATAATTTTTTTTAAAATTAGTGCGTTTTGCATATTTGTCATTATTTTCAACTTTCTGTCACTACGCATCGACGAGATTTCAAGGCAACACAGTCACCGTAAAACGTGCGTTCGAATTATTTTCCTTGCGGATTTTATGAACCTCCAACAAATGAAATATGTGTATCAAATGCAGCAATAACAAACTAATATATGAGTAAGCAATTATATATTTAAATTTATGTAAATTATGTATCTGAACATAGAGAAGAGATTGCCACTTAATTACAAAATTATTTGAATTAATAAACACTACATATTATATATTTACATTTGACCATGCCACGTTTTATCTTATTTAATTATTTGTTGATTTATCCGTTCGGTTACGCTGTCATCTTTATAGTAACTGTATCATAGGTATGATTGCCTAAGGTCATATACTGGAATAAATATATTATTAATATTATTATTGTAAATGTTAACAATATTGGGCGGCGGCGCGCCACTACTGAGTGTGTTAATCAATATTTAGAAAACGTTTGAACAGAATCTTAGTTCTTCCTTTCTGATAAAAAGATTAACCCAATTTGAATCGAATGACAAATCGAATGAAATGTGTAATTCTGACTAGAAGTTTAGCATTGCCAGGATTAAGCACACGTTCACCCGACGTTGTTGACTGGCTGACTGACTGACTGACTGACTGACTGGCTTTACACTAACTTGCATTCATTCACGTCAAATTACTGGTTATCAGTAATTAAAGTTGTAATTGGGAAGTGTTCATTGGGTGATTACTCGTTATCGTATGATACATACACATAAAATACTAATTTTTGATATTTTCGCTATTGAAAAAAAATATACAGCAAATATAACTTTTTTCCTGTAATTTGCATCCAACCCACCAGAAATCAGTGAAAATAAATTCCATAAAAAACATCGAAAATATCCCTTTAGTGAAAATTATTTCCAGCTAAAACAAAGTATTTTACAGTAATCAGTGCTGTGTCATGGAAGTACGTTGCCCCTGATTAAGGTGCGTTAATGACAGTTGTCATCTTTAGGAGTCTGCTGCCAACAATTAGATCAATATTATCTATCATATGTTGCATCGGTATTAGAATAAAACAATTCACTTGAACTGCGGTGATGATCAACATGATCGATTTCAATTTTAAGTAGAAAAATACTGGTAATTGATAAGTGTACCTATCGCATTTAAACCCGGACATTAGTGTCAGATAGTGTTTCGCTCTGTCGATATTAAAACAGATGAGAAATTGGTCGGTGTTTCAGCAATTACTTGGGATTCTAATGGAAGTGAATCAGTAACAAGTGAGGGCGCAATAATATATAAATATGAAACTCGGTATTTAATGTTCGGAGTACATCTGTACATTTTCTTTTTAGAATTGAATTCAGGGGATATCAGTTTTCCATTTTATATACACGTCACATACAATCATAGGCTTGAGATTACCATACACGTCATCAGCACTGAGTTTATTCATCAATTTATAGTACACAATTCACACATACGTCACATACGACATGAACAGCCTGTTACATTTTAATCAACCCATGTCATCCAGAATGTGGATTAATTTCTCTATCCTACTAAATTTACATTTTACTAGTCGATTGCATTTTGGTCTTCTAAATTGTCACAATATTAATTTTTAAGAAAACAAATTACATGTAACGAATGATTTCCAGCCACAATTCTGGTGCGACAGTATTTATATTTTTCTTGTAAAAAGTTACTGAACAGTTATAGAGAGTTTTTCGTTATTTAATTTTATTTTATTAAGCCATGGTTCTTGTAAATATAACTTTGACCCAACACCGCTACATAGTCAATAACACATACTTAAGTAGTTTTCAGCAGGTAACGTAAATCGTCAAAGACTCAACGAATCTACTTATTTAGCTTATGAAAGACACGAGTGATTCCTTGAAGACGTCTGGTGACGGCATCGCTCATGCAAAATATATTTGACATGTAAAATTATCGGAAAAATTAGGTTTCCTTGAAAAAAACATTAGTGTAGCATCTCAAATTATTAGTAAAGTTTGATATCTTTATTTTGATATTTGTTTTCTAATGTAAAAATGCTCACCCCTAAAATACGCTTATAAAGCTTAAAAATAAACCCAATTTCGAATTATAACAATAAGAAAATGAACATGCAATGGCTCACGCCACTTGTAATGTTTGTTGATATAAAATAAACAAACAATTATACAGAGTAAAGCCTGCTTAATCAACTTCGCTTACTCATTTTTTTACAAATAGGCTAAATAATAAAAACTCGTATTTTTTTTAATTGTTTTTCGTGCCGGTTTGCCAAAAATAAGAATAGCGAATCACAATTTTAGATAATTAAAAAGTGATCTAAATTTGGCTAGATATACCCCCGGAGTTCCTTGCAGGGTAACTGAGCGCCTTTGTTTGAACTGGTAGCCGCTGGTGCATACATATGCAAGTGACATCAGTGAAACCATGGATACATCATGAATGACCTTTGGTAGTCAGTTTGGTATTATAACGTATAGGGAATAAATACAGTGTTTCAGTCTTCTAGTGAGAATAATGTTAATATTACAATTTTAAGTTATAAGAAGATGGACCAAAGGACGTGGATTGGTGACAGATCCGGGAAATATTATTATAGTAATTCATTTTTTTTTTACATTGGGTGTTCTGGGATACCTAACTGCTGTTTGATCAATAGCATGCGTGCTTTCACGAATTCATAGAATTCTACTTCTAAAGCCATGCGCTCACGTTGAATTTTTAAGACTTCTTCTGATGGCTCTATCTTGGATTTGGACTTAAACTGGTCTCGGATTGTACTGAGGGTAATCTTATATGATTCTAGCGCCCCTTCAAAAAACTGGGGAAGGAGGCGTTCTAAAACTACAAGGGTGGAGTTAAAGTCCTCGGTTATACCGACGAACAGGAATTTTTCGACTACGTTTCGCTTGGCTTGCTCTACGGCCCATCGACTGGCAGTACGGCATTCGTCGTCTTGTCCACAGAAGTAGGGTACAACTCGGAAAGTGTTCTGCGTACTACATTCAAATTTGTCTTGTAATACACACTGGTCGAAAGTTTGGTTAAAATCTTCAGCTGCTCCGGTCCATTCTGGTACAGAGAAGGAGTCGCCGAATCGCGTGTAGTAGTAGAAGGAGACAAGTCTACTGACAGGGTCTCTGGTCAAGTTGATCCAGGTTGGAGGCTTAGATGCATGGCGCTCAAAATCCACGTAGTCCAAGTGACGGTCGTAGATGAATGGAGGGGTTATAACTTCTATTTCTTTGGTGAATATCTTCTGGCCTGTCTCGTTGAGGAAGACTTTCACGAATACCGGACTTCTTGCGCGCTCAAACTTGTTTTTCTGCGACAGCTTCATAATGACGTTTAGGAGACTTCGACTACCTACTTTGCTCACTCTGTTGAAAATGACTCGAGACTCGTTCCAGGCTGCAGTTGGGTCGAGCGGTAACCCCATGTCAGGAGTCAGGGGTGAGTCACCTGTGAATCGCAAACTGGTATCGAGTAATCCAGAAGAGTAGAGCGGTGAAATGTGGTTGGATGTGAGTTTGAAGACTACGGCAAAGAAGAGAACTGTTCCCAGCATAAGAACTAGTCTGGCCGGTGAGATAAAAATACGCCCTATTCGTATCATCAGCATGGTCGCTGCCGGGGTTTGAGACGCTTGTGGAGCCAGTGTGACTGATTGGTGTACAATTTATTTAAACTGTAACGAACAAAAATATAACAGAAACAGATGAATAAAATACCAAGAATTGTAATAAAATGGACTGTCAGTTTTGACTTTCTGTCGAAACTTTTAAACATCTCGTTGTCATTATGACATAGTGTGTGTGTCGCACTGACATAGTTCTATGCTCAAACTTACGTTACATAGTACAGATCCGTCGCAATAACAACAATGTTTAAACAATTATTTTTCTAAAAACACATTAACACATTTGTCCCCCCCCCCACTTTAATGATTTTGTTGGCAACACATTGTGCAAGTTGTTGTCGCCTGATTGACAGATCATTGTTTGTTTTTCAAATATTATTATTACCAATGGTAGACTCCACTGAGATATGCCAAAGGCAGATGTTGTTCGCGTGTCAGCTGTGCGATGGTGGCTCGTTACTTTGCCGGTGACACGTGGAAAAAGGGGCACACTTCAGTATTGCGATGTACATACACCGAAGTAGACGATAATGAATATATTATTCAGATAAACATGCATTGTGTCATGACGTAGATGGCATCATGTAAGTGGTAGCATGAAGACATATCTGACATTTACTGATGCCGGACAATTCATAATCTATTTATCGCGTCCCTCCGCCATATGCGATTGGTAGTGGGTTATTCCTTTTTTTTAATTTAGTGCCTTTTAATCCCCATACCAAGGTGAGCCAGATTTGTGTGATAACCGAAGCGCACTTGATTTTGATCCGATGTATATTCTGCAAGCGGTTTCATCATCATTGCAGACAATGAGCTGAATTTAATGTATTTGCCAGCCAGTATTTTTTTCTTGGTTTCCGCGGAAATTAAATAGAATAATTATAATTTAACTGAGAATGGAAAATTGCCACGGTTAGCTATATACGATTTATTACAACTATGTGTATTTGAAACGTCAATACCCGGTCGCTCCATGGTGACCTATCGATTAAGACAGTCCGAGGCTTGTCTCGCCGGGAGTCGTCAGGGCCAATTTACCCTAATACCACGTAAACTGGTTAATTATGATCGCTCGGTCCGGGTACCTTCGTTTTGTATGACTAGAAACAACTTGCGTCATTGAGAGAGACAAATTGGAATGTAAGAAGGGGTATTAGTTGTGTGTAGAATGCTTGTGAGTATAAAAATATAGAGTAGAACAATAAGATGACACATGGAACCAGTGTGACAATACACTACTCGGTGACACGACAACATTTCATTAAATACCATTTTTCTGACCGAGACAGTTCAACATATTTTAACTGAACAGCGTTGTTGAATTTGACATGTAGCGGACGAAAACTGTTTTTAAGGTGCCGGTTTACTTTTTTAGTTAGGCGGAGTTGGTGTATACTTATTCACATATCTCCAACTGACTTGGCAAAAAAACGAGTAACACCAACCAGTACGTCAGAAACCGTACAACTGTCTACAGTAGGAACACGACGGATATATAATAACGGTAATTGACGCGTAGAATATATAATAGTGTCCATTGACTCGTTTTCTGGATGATCGATCAAATGGAGCTAAGTATCACGAGAAGTCAACATTTTTGAATATTTCACGAGAATTTAGACAATGTACGTAGACTGGTTTAATATAGCAAAATTAATATCGACAAAATGTATAATTATTTTCGTTTGAAGTGGTGGCAACAACACTCCCGTATAAGAACTATCATGTGTGTGAGCGCCGTTTAAACCGACGGGTAAAGTGTTTTACATTTGAAATTGACTTACCTCAGAAAAATGCTTCTACCATCTACCCAGGAATTGATGCAAGTGGAAAGTGCCAACACTGACTGATTTGTGCTTCACGTCACCGGGGTCATACATTCACTTCCTGGTATGACGTGTCGCCAGGGATTAACTCGTTACGATTATGTTTTTGGAGTAAATACACGATTTGAATATCATCATATCACGATTTGAATAAAACGTACAATTCGTAACAACCGTAACTCGTACAGTAACTAACCACTTCTGGTTAAATCTAAAAAAATAATAATAACAGAACGCCATAAATTAACGATTATGATTTTTTTAATATTTGATACCCTACAATTGATAGTTGCGGATGTCCTTGGGATCACTGACTGGGGCACACGTGTTGACAGCGTGGGTATTAACGAACGAAAACAGAATGAATAGTATACATATATATCATGATTATTTTCTTGTCTGAGATTTTGACTAGAATAATAATATAAAAAATCACTGGTACGTGATGCAATAACTCTGGTTGCGTTCAAAATATCTCGGGAAATATGATTTTATTCTTATTGGGACAGTTTCTTAACTTATGAACTACTTACTGAAACTTATTTCGTTAGTAAACTAATGCAGTATTTTTTTCATTTGACAGTATATCAGCGATATGCACTCAAACAGACAATACAGTGTGTGAAATTCGGCATAGAAAAGCAAGATTAAAGTCAGCTGTAATCAATGAATGATTACTGAATGTAAAGTAAAAGAATCTATATATATTTGCATATATATCAGCTGACGACATAATTGACACTCGAGTCCCTCAATGGGATCGCCATTGATATGCATTTGTAAGTACCACGCGTGGTTCAATCCTGTCGGCGTGACACCGCGTGACACCACTTTCCGTCCACGTCCATCTAACCCGTGTCATTGAAAAGTACGTCCAAGGTTTATGTCAAAAACAAAACGTAAAGCCGGGAAAGAAAACACAATTATGATATGCTATATTAAACATAGCGCTTGATTGAGTGCCAGCACATATCACACCAGTTTTATATTATCAAAAAACAATCCGTCGCGTATTTATTAATTACAGGGGGTGGCCCAAGTGGCAATTGTATTCTATCACTGCGAATGAACTGCTTGTCACCGTGCCTTCTCGCGCCGTTCATAGCGTTGCCGCATTCCTAACTTCGACTTGGCCTCAAATGCAAGTGTCATTTCTACAGTCGTCAACGCGTAGTAACTATACGGTATATACGCTCGGCTAATAAAAATGAATTCCGAATTTGTAACAGATATATTGTCTGACACGTGTCTCAGTTGTGCTAGATACTAACATCAGTCAGATTTGACACAGGTTACAAATTTGACACATATCGATCAGATGAATAAATGATTTGATTAACTCAAATTAACAGCAGATACACTCGTGGGAAATTATAGTATGCCTTAAAACTAAAAATCGATTCACAATTATTGCTAATTTGCACAATAAAGAAATTTATCGTACAATTGTATAATTAATCTGTGAAACATGTTACATTTTTGTTAAAAAAGAACAACTGACGCTAGATGAAATCAAGGACACACAATGCTTGTTACAATTTGCATATGTTAACTAGTGGATGGGAACATCGGTGAAATCTGTTGGCGTCCGACACGTCATTTTGTGACGTCACCGGCCGCCATTGCTTCATATTTGTAGCCAAGTTGCGTTACATCCACCTTTCCTCTGTCATTTGTTGACTGTTTAGTACTCCTGGTGGAATCAAAGAAACTGTACAGAAGGTAAGCGTAGTACTTATTATTTGTTGCCATTATATTTGTAATTATTCAGGTTTCCAACAGGATCGCGACTCGTTAGCCAACCAATGACCCATAGCTACGAAACCACTGATTTTTTCTTAGATTATAAATATTATCATCATCCATGTCGAAAGACTAAGAATAATTACACCCATGTTTTAGCAAGAAAACTTACATCGAGAACGTCATTATACAAAACAACGTAGTTTTATTCAATTGACGATTCAGACGATGTGATATTTCCAATTTCAGAGTTTAGATTCGAACATAATCTGTACTGCACCTGTTGCTGCTGTGTGATGTGACGTTTAGATCACAGTACATGCACAAATGCACGAACTCATTCAATTGTTCAATTATTATCCAGTTATCATCAAATTGGTAGAAATTAGGTAACAGTATTATATTATTTTATTTCAGAAAAGCGGGCGAGGTTTTGAGAAATAGTTGTGCCAATGTGACTGCTTGACTGAAAGGGAACAGAACAACAGCGCAGCCATGAGGACGGAGGTTTATATGCGATATTTCCGTACTTTCGTCACGCCGACACGTTTTTTGATGACGAGTACTTTCATGACTTGTCTTATTGTCATTGTGTTTGTTACATCACCAAGACGACTGCCGTATGCACCGGGTGCTGCCAGATATTCGTCTGCAATGAACGTTGACACTAGGTCACTCACGAATGACCAACCCGCGGCGCCCGACCCACCTGCAGCGGTCGTACCTGATGCCGACCCTCCCGCTGAGGAAAAGCCCCCAGAAGCTGCCGGCGACGAAGCAGCAGCCCCGGCGGCCCCAGCGGCCCCAGCGGCTCCAGCGGCACCGGCAGCGCCTGCCGCCCCGGTGGCTGCTGGCGACGTTGACCCAGCTGCTGGTATACCATTTGACGTAACTAAGTACCACAGTCTTGATAGAGCAGTGTACAATCGTGTCGATAAATGCGGCAGTCGTAGTCTTCTCTACACCATAGATCAGCTGACAGTGAAACACGGCTACGAAAAAGTGACAAGTGCCGAGTACAACAAAAAGAATTTGACGGTGGAAGAACAAAAAGAACTCGTTGACGAAATCAACGGTCTCAAGCCTCCCTTCATTTATGATAGGCATGTTTACTTTACTCCGTTCCAGAGGTTCGGTTCCAAGAACCCTGTCTGGTTTAATTTGATCAGGGACCCACTTCGCCGGTTCATCTCCCTCTATTACTTCAAGCGTTTCGGCGATCCTCACACCGCTGCGGGAGAATTCAACATGCCAGAGGAAATCGTCAATCGATCATTTGACGACTGCGTTCTTAACAACGTCTTTGAATGCAGCACCAAAGCAAGTTTCCGCGTAGTGCCTTATTTCTGTGGACACGGGGAAGGATGCCGAATGCCGAACAAATGGGCAGTTGAGCAAGCTAAGAAAAACGTAGTCGAAAATTACGCCTTGGTGGGAGTTCTGGAAGAGTTTAACACCACTTTAAAAGTTTTGGACAAGCTTGTACCGCAATATTTCGAGGGTGCCATGGCAGCGTACGAGTCAGTACAAAGTACAGGTATCGTTGAAAAGTTCAAGTCTTATGCCGGTAAGCCACCCAGTGAAGAAGCCATGGCCAAGATGAAAGAACGACTAGGTTTAGAATATGACTTTTATAATTTTGTAGTTGCAAGACAGCATGCTTTAAAGGACATGCTTGGAATAGAATAATATCTTTTGAGCTTACTAACCATGAAAAAAGAAAACAGTTTTGTAATATGAATATGATGATTAACTATTCAAAACACAAATCTTGTTCTGTTGGCACGCTGAAATGAAAACTAACCATTTCTTAGCAATATTCATTCATTCATTCATTCATCCTTGCTGCCATTCATTCATCCTTGCTGCCATTCATTCATTCATCCTTGCTGCCATTCATTCATCCTTGCTGCCATTCATTCATTCATTCATTCATTCATTCATTCATTCATTCATTCATTCATTCATTCATTCATTCATTCATTCATTCATTCATTCTTTCTTGCTGCCATTCATTCATTTATTCATTTATATGTTAATTTATTTATTCATTCGTTTGTCAACATTCCTCCACAATTTCCTCCACCCATTTCAACGCATAGTCACTGACTTCACAGACTATAAAACTATTTGTTCGTGACGTCAGTTGCGAATTTCTTCGCATATTTGCTTAAACCAATCTCCGCCTTGTCTTGGAAGGCGTAACACGTGTCCCCGTTTTACAACTTACTAAAACAGTTCTTTGTTCACGGCGTTAGTATATTTTAGTTTACGCTCAGTGATGTTTTTCACTAAATGTATAGACTCTTTTTTTATCTGTTAAATCTAAACTTGAAGACACTTTATACTTAGTTGAGTATTTAAATACTATATTACCCCAAATTTTGCTGGCAATATATACAACTGCACGAACTCCCACTTGTTCTTACCCCACTCTGATAGCAGCATGTGTGGCGGTCTACAGAAACAAATATGAATATCTTTTTCATATAGTCCCGTTTCAATCAACAGTTTGTGTATTTTACGTTGATTAAATAAAAAAAAAACATCATTGTAGTGTTCACACGTCTTCAAATTACCAGGGAATTATGAACAGTCTGGAGCTATTTTAGCTGGTGTCAATAAAACAGCATAGCATTTAATATTTACCATCTCGAATTTATTTAACAATTCTATAATATTTCCACATTTAATACAACACAGAAATGGGTTGCATTCATATACAAACATGTTATAGTTTCTTTTTATCTTTCTCTCCCATCTGTTACCCGGTAATCCGTGCAATCCACAACTTCCTGTGCAGCTGTGGCACTGTTGCCTTTACAAGTACCATCTAAAATTGATAAATGTGGACGAAAATTACAATCGGGTATTTAAAACTGAAAAAACCCGAAATATTTCGTTTGTATATTGAAGGATGGGTAACATTACATGGTAAATACTCACTAGTCATAATGGATGTTTCACTGATTTTGGTGCTATGTGGTTTATACGTTGTCAATTATTTTTTTTTACAATTTGGATAGATTGTGAAAAAAAACCTATTAGCTCGGACAAAACTTTGATCAGAAAATATACAGATTAATATTTTCGTGCGCAACTGATTGTTGGGAGTCACGATTATAGCATCCTCGTTCGTGGCCGAGAGCGCCACTAGCGGCACTGTGGTTGTGGCGTGATTGCAATAATTTTGCTGTACAAAATGTACATATCCGTTAAAAGGGTTTTGAAAAGTGGAATATTAACGAGGTGCCTCGAGGAATGCTCGTGTCTAGGAAGTCATAAACAAAATGTATTGACTAATGCATATCATTTAGAAATAGCTTTATGTGGTCGAGTGGTGGCGCTGTATATGTGCTGTGTACTTTTCGCAATGGGCATTTTATTATGAACTCCTGACCCGATTGACATTCCAAGTTTTAATGAAATGACGTCAGCGACTGTATTCTGTATTTTACACCTCATACGAAATAAAATATTAATTATACCGTATGAAATGTGGTATTAGTTTATTTCATAAGTTCCACCGAATCGGCATTAAAATAAATCGATTACTTTCTGACGTCACTCAACGCGCATTTCACGTGTTCAGTCTCCTAGTAGGCCTAAAATATGGGTAACTGTTGAATATTGAAGTAAGCAACGATAACAGCCCGAATTAGACTCAAGAAAACCTTCTAATAAGACGACTAAACAAGTTCCGTGCATTACGTGATAGGATATTAAATTTTATGGGTAAGGTATCTGTCTTAATTATGAAAATTGTATACTAATACTCGGGACTGCTCACTGTCACCGTGACTGTGACCACAAACTGACCTAGTAACAAAGATCACCCAGATCAATTACCATTATACATGTGTAAACAAGATACATGCTACACATAACTACTAGTACTCAAACACTAAATTACATTTTTCGTGGAAAAGAGCCAGCCAGCCAATTAATCAACTGACCTACCGACCGACCACAGACAGCAGCCAAAATTAAAACAAATGATGAAGCACATATTGCATGTACCGTTGATGGCGCTAAATAAATACGATCAGAACCTTATCTATGCTGCCGTTGTCGGTATACATTCAAGTTAAATTCCATGCAACGAGCGCATGTGCACTAGATGCTATTTACCATAATGCATATGTGCAATAGCACACTGCAGTCCTTCATTTGTAGATCACATGACCGCCATTTATTTGTGGAAGGAATAATGATCCCATTCTGTTTATTGACAGTGTTCAATTAAACGATAATTTGTTTCAAAAACCATGGGAAAGTGTTCCAGCTTTCGAGTTCATATGTAGGGAATTATTTCCACCCAAAAATGCAGTTTCCCAACTTGTTTCTTTCTTGTAGTTTCGAGCCGTATTCAACATATCAGCCCACATATCATAGTAAATATCGGCGAATTAACCGCATTTTGTCACATATGTACACCAAATGACTGTAGTTAAAGGGTGAGAAAATATATGTCATCAATTCTGTAGATTGGTGAATTCGTGATTGGTGATCGTCACGGTGTCAGCGATATTAATGCAGCGACACACGTGGGCATTATAACATCGATGCGTCATTGGGATGCAATCTAAACTAACACAAGATATAACTTAGTGACGTGTGCTATTTATTGGCTCAAAATGGCATGTTGCACATCATCGGAACCTTACATGTTGTGTTATTTTACTAACCCAATTTTAGCGATATTGTTTTCAATTGTTATACTGTTTGTTTCCTCAAGGAGGATAGTTTATCATCATCATCTTCTTGCGGAACCATGTATGAACACACGTAATGAAAACACTTTGATTCTCTGTCATGTGACTGTGACCATTCGTTGTTTCAATTAACCTCCCAATACTTTTGCTATTTAATATAAACGACCTCTACTTTAAACAAGTCAATGGCTCTGTTCTCACGGTTGCCGAACATTACATCTGCGACAGAATGCCATCATTATGTCCTAACATTGTAGTTAGTGTAAACCGCGTGTGAGCGGATATGGATATTTCCCCGAGCCCAGGACAAACGTTGCTGACTAGTTTATCTCAATAAACCCTATTTCGGCAGTCGGTATAATACAAATGGACAACTAGAACAGGAAACGGGAATTTCGGCTGAGTATTTGAATAAACATGAATGAAAAACACATTGTGGTTTTGACCACAATAAAACCAAGCTATTAAGAGATATTAAGAACTTGGAAAGAAGAGGCGCAAACTATTAGTCGAATTAGTGACCACATGAAGTTGCAGGAATTAAATAAAAACGTATATTGAAAGTATTGTACATTGACATATCAGAGCATTTATTTCATTATCAATAACCACTTAATACGATGAATATTTACAATGTAATGTTTAGGTGTCTCCCAGCTTGTGAATTCATAGCTTACATTACGTGGACCGATGTAGAAAACAAAGCATATGCATATCACAACTGCTGTTAGTTTAACATTGCATGTGCATTCCCGTGGAGCATGGTGGTCTTTACACAGATTGCTTTGTTGTTGAATAACATATGTTGCAGCATTCGAGGTTATTATTTGAATATGTTTGTAATGTTCTATACAATGCCATGTATCAGCCTGGGGTTAAAATGTTAATTATAATGTATACTGACAACGTCAACCAACTACTAGTAATTTATTCAATATTATAACCCTCATACCTTGCGATAGCGAAATGGTCTTTCATAATTGTCAAATTTTAATTTGTACTTAATAATTTCGTTCTGGAATAAAGTTTCTGCGTTCGGCGATTTGTTTTATGCCCGTGTAATTTGTTTAACGACAACCCCTTCCCTCCCCCCACCACACACACATATACATACACCACATATATGCTATTATGTACACATATACAGTACATGCTTGGACTTTAACCGATTTGACTTATAATATCCAATTACATACATCTTGAAGAATAAGGGTTTTTGCCGCAACTATCATTAAATAAAGAATTTGAATTATTGAGAGATGCTCTTATCGCTATCATATCGTACTACAAACTTAAACTCTGACCTACAATTATCTGAATACATTATACCATATTAGCGATTAGGGTATAACCCTGAATCCCGTCATGCATTGCAACTCAGATACCACAGGAAACATGTAATGTCGATACTCAAATGCAATAAGTAACTTAAGCCCCTACATTTTTGTATTTTCACTCCGTATTTTGAATTTTGCAATCCGGGAGTGTGTTTTTACAAAATGTATTCTTGGTCTTCTCACTCATGTTTGATGAATCGGTGTCAAATCAGATGTCAATGGCAGCTGTATTAATACAGTTTGTAATAGTATACATTTACAAATTACAGTCTGGGACAGAGCAAACTGTGGCGTGCTGTTACATATGTTTCGGCAAGGATGTGCGTAGACGTGGCGAGACATGGTTGTTTATAACATATAAACGCGGCAAGACTATGAAATATTTAGCACAACACATGTGCATTTGAATATTGGTACGATAAGTGGCCTGGTCGGTTCATTTATATCCTAGTAATTTATAGTTTTGATTTTTAAAATTTGTTTTATAGTTTTACCCTTTGATTGTTCTTGGTTTTATCAATGTGAACGCGAATACGCTCTTTTTAATCCTTTCGACTTTTAAGCAATAGTGTTAAAATAATGGTGTAGAGGCATGACGTAATTATGAACCAAGAATATTCCATATTACGTTTCACGTGACACCCTTTACCCCTTTGTGCATTTTGATGTTTGCATACGACACGCCCGGCGATAATTATCATGTCAGGGATTGACCATTATAAGTCGGGGAGGGATTAGATTTTTGCAAAAAATAATATAATAGGGAAAAGTCCATAATAAATAAATATTTGAAAAAAAACCCACACAATTCATAGAGGAAAAGACAATATAACAACAATACTAATAGATCGTCATGTTTTGTATAAAGAGAATAACTTTTGACGCAGGTAAACGATTCATTCAAACGAATAATTAGAAGTTTCGAGAAAACTCACACTCCTATCTTTACGATATAATTTCGCCATTTCTTTTCAGAAACTGCTGTTTAACTTTTTAAAAGTAGAATGTATGTTTCAAATAACTCTAGTTTTACGAGCTTCTACACTTTACTTTAAAAAGTACATGGTATAGTTTTCAGTTATTGTTGAACAACGTTCTAATAAAGCTGACTTTAGAATGCATGTAATCTTGGATATCTGTTCTTACTAGAAAATCGATGTATACAAAATCTTGATAATTACACCCCAACAACGTAAGTCGTTTGATTGAACAAAAGTAGTTTTACATTTGACAGTTGACAAATTGGTTGCGCAGTACAAGTAAATGACGGAGCTGAGATGTTGAGAAGATCCAAAAATATGAGACTCCAATACTCATCCAACAACCCGTCCAATAATATGTGCATTGTATGTATTGTGAATATTTACACCTTATGATTCGGACATATGCGAATTCAATGACGTTTTGTATAAGACAATTAATTGTATGACCAGGGAAAAGTTTCGAAATAACTAGAAGCCTAGATTTCACAAAAATTCTGTTATCGTTCTATTTGATAATATCACTTTTTTGCCCGCATGCTCTTGCCTCAAGTTTCTCCCAGAACTCATTCCATCGATAAACAACCTCTTCAAAGGTAGTGACGGCGACACGAAATGTTGCATTGGGGGAGGGGGGGGGGTCTGCTCACCAACCTTGCGCCGAGAGCGCGACCTTACAAGGGGGTCCAGGGGCATACTCATTGAATTCTATACTCTCTGAACCGCTATTTCCTGCTTTTTGAGGGGCAAATTTTACTGACACAAAGGGTTTCAGCTTGATTTTGAAGAGGCAAGCGCCCTTGTGCCGCCGATACTGAAAGGGTATATCACAAACTATTTAAAATCAAGCTCCAAACCAAGTTCAGGAAATCAGTAAAAGGGAAATTATAACAATACGATTAGCCGTCAGGAATTTCAAACGAGTGGTCCAATTATAAAGCTTTTCTATTAAGAAGCATGACGTTTACAACCGTATTCATTCATCGATAAAAATGTGTTTGAGATATTTAATACAGTCTGAGATATTTAATACACAACCAAACACAACTGTCGCTCTCACGATATTGCTTTCACACATTACGTCATTACGAAGTCACCGAGGCACTCCATCGTTGATGTCGCGATTTATATGGAATATATTCTATTATCATTACATGAGTAACCTTTGTCCCCAAATATCTGGTTATCCACCAAGTGTATGAAATATGTATCTAAACTGTTACGACACCTGATAGGTGACACAGTACACTGTCGTTACGTTGAACACAGGGTAAATATTGGCGCTGTTCATAAATTCCAACAATCTATGCCACATTATGATGTCACTGAGGTGTACTTTACTGTCCCGCTGAGGTTAAGTACAGTTAACCTCCACTCACATCAAAGGATTCAAGTACAGTGCATATCACTCATAATACAAAGTATGAAACAAATGTATGTTTATTGATAATGATATGTAACATGTCTCCCTCTGGTGGTTGCATCATTGAATATCTTGTTTTTATGTTGATTTCTCGCGGTGCACCGCCTGTACAAGTATGTGATATGACAGTCAGCTGGCGCAGATGGTCAAATACACAATTCAATGAATTTACTGATAGTTACTATATAGGGGAAATATCTTGCATTCTTGTTGTAATGTTTATATAAAAAAAACATTCTGAAACGCAATTTTATGATTCTTATAATACACGCCTAAGATAAAACGTATTGAGGCCATCCCTGGTAGGGTGACAGTTTCGCCCTGTTTGGCAAAGATTCAAGATGGCTAGCCCCATATATAATGTTCGTAGTAATCTTCGGTAATTTCATTGAATTTATTATATTGTTAACAGTAGGCCAGCTGAATATGCCATGGAAGTATGTATAGGTAGGAAACTCGCATTGAATTGACATGCACGTGCAAGACACTTCGTTCTGCGAGAGTTTCACCGTATAGTATATAAATAAACAATAATAAGCTCGGACACTGAATACTAGTATATAATAATCTAACGCGAGGTGCTCGAATCCAAATCGTCACAAGATGGCGCGGTTTATGGGTATGGTGTAGAATTCTTTACTGTAAATATTTCACAATCACTCGTCATCGGAAATTCCCCCAATAACATTTCTATCTGATAGATTCTGTAACCGGGCTGAATAGTTGAACATTTTGAAAAGTGAAATCATAATAGATGCGAACCTGTTCAACCTTTTCCCGATGCGCGAACATGTGTCAAGTTTGTCATCAGCTATCTGTATTGTCAATGACTAATACGTTTTCAGTAGTTTCTTCGTCGGTAGCTTGATTTTGGCCTTCAATGTCTTGGTTCATTTCAGCGTCGACACCGAGTTCGTCAGCTACTTCTGTTTTATTATCATGAACGTCCGCAATACTAGCTTGGCTAGGCATGCTTTCAAGGGCACTAAATTGTTTTTTCATAAACATGAGTCGCTGTTTAACAAAATCATAGAATTCATATTCCAGGGCCAGTCTCTTCTTCATTTCTTCCATCGCTTCAGTTGAGGGAGTATCGTCGGTTTGTGAAGAATAATCTTGAATGACACCAGCATAGATTAGTGATAGGTGAGCGTCTCTACTGCCTTTGAAAAACTGCGGAAGGACATTCTCAAGAACAAACAGGGTTGAATTTAAATCTTCGAGAATCCCTACTACATCAAAATTGTCAATGACGTTTCTCTGCGCAGTTTCTAGGGCCCAGCGATTTGGAATTCGACATCCCGCTCCTTGTCCACAGAAATAAGGTATTACTTGCATGGCATTTTTTTTGTTGCATTCCTTGTGGTTATTTAACACACACTTATCAAATGTTTGTTTTGCGATAGAGTCTGTAATGTTGGTAAATGTATCTGGCCTCGTTCGCTTATCGCCATAGCGTTTGTAATAAAACTGAGACATGAATCGCTGGAGAGGGTCTCGAATGAGGCTGATCCAAGATGGACGCTGGGCGCCATAGCGCGGGAAATGTACATAATGTATGGATCTGTCGTAGAGCAACGGCAGCTCCAAACTATTAACTTCTGTTAGAAAAGCCTTCTGCGCTTCTGCTCCAGTATACTTGTGCGCCCAAAGCCTACTAGAACCGTGGTTGAATTTATTCCGAAGCGCAAGTTTCTGCACTATATACAAGAAAGTTCGACTGCCACATTTTTCTACTTTGTTGTATATTACTTTCGTCTCTTTACATGTTCTGCTGACGTCCATTGGAAGTCCAGCTTCCGGTGTTGGAGGGCGTAATTCAAACACTGGTTCCTTGTATGCGGTCAAATCGGGCGCCATGCTTCCTTCTCCCGTGGCAGTATTACGTCCACTGCCCTGAAAGATATTGAGCATGCTAAGAATAAGCAGTATAGCTATGGCAGCCACTGCAGTGCCGCCTTGGTAATATCGTTTGAGATGGTGAACATGGATATTGCTACCACCGAGTCTTTTGAAGATCAAATCTAACGGAATATCTAACTGCATCACGCTTCAAAGACAATATTAGTTTGACCTGCAATACAATATAAGCGATATACAAAATTAATTTAAGTACAATTTAAGTACTTTGTTCAGGGTTGGTACATGATGTTATAGTGAAGAATTACATTTTTTGACAAATATTTTATGGCACGTATTTATCACATTATAATAAACAAATATGACTGGAATTAGTCGTGTTATAGTAGCCGTACGTATTACTATATGTGTGTAGCAGATGACACTTGTATCGATATCATGTTACACGTTGCTATCACGCACGACGATACACATGCCAAATAGGAGTATTTTAAATCTGGTATTATAAAAAAACTAGTCAAAAACAAGGGAAACGTCGACTTGAACATAATATAAACACGATACACATACCGTAGTTTCGTAATTCCGATGGCGACACTTGTTACCATATATACACCATGTTCACCATGTTAGCCAAGGTCTGATTCGTTATTGTGTAGAAAATAATGTATATACTGCAAAAAGGAATGAGACTCAGAAATAAATTTAAAAACAGCATGGCGCGTTGGATGATATACTCCCCAGTTTTGCCTAGCCACTGAACTTGACATATGAAAACAACTGATGTTTTATTGACATTCATTTTTAATGATTTAACAAAATGGATATCTAATTAGTTGCCGCCCTATGTCCCAACCATTAAACTATCCTAAAACAATGGCGTGGTACTTACTAGATTTTGTTTGATAGCTTCCACTCTAAGATGAACCTGTGTAGTTGTATTACTGTCTAGACGAGATCACTCGTTCGCCACTCAGTGTAGAAGCGGTCATTAATATTTAGTGGTGATGCCCTTCCAGTGAGGCGTACTCGATTATAGCTCTAATATCTCAATATTGACACTAGGTGGCGTCATGGATGAATGCCCAGTATGTTGCCACGTTGTAACCACGCTGTCTATTCAACGTGAAATTTATTTAAAAAATATATAAATAAATAAATGACCCTCGCCTGTAATCAGAAAGTAAAATTTCCTACTTTAGCTTTCCGAACATCTGCTGTTTTATTAGCATACGATACGATGACGTAATATATTACGTATATTATCCGTGTCAATGGGTGTCACCGATGTCCTAATTTGTTTTCCGTCACATCAGTTACGTGTGACCAGCTTACGTAGGACAGAAAGAACATTTAAAACTAACCATTCAAGTAATATCAGCTTTGATTGGTTATTTATCGCCGTATTATTTATGAGAGGATTAGTGGGCGCTATGAATTTATAATAGTGGAATGATTGCAACATGCTGCACACATGTGAATTGTCTAACGTGGCATGTCTTTAATGACTCCACGGGAAACATCGGCCATATGTGAATGGGACGGGGTCAAGGCACGGATTTGCGCGCCATAGATAATTTTTAATGAATGAAGAAATTGACAATGGAATCGTTGACGTATTAGGTGTGCACAATTATGACAATTTATCTGCCTCCCACGCCTGTATTCAGGTGTAAGTGATTTTATACAACAACAAATTAAGACTAAATTAATATATTGTTAAGCATATATGGGCGTCGATTATGTGATTCTCGCGATAAAATTGTCATTATTCTGTGTCCGGGCAAATATTAAGATCATTGATGCATAATTTCCCGTAACACGGCATTTTATCACAAATCACACTGACCAAAGTTCAAAAATACTGTAATTCTTGTTTTCCTGATCGGCAAAATGTGATTTTGGTGCCATTTACCATTGGTTTATATGGTAAAAACGTTTCACCATATCTCAAAATTCGCTTCAGTTACACTTTGTGGCAAAATCATACTTTATAACAAAATCAGTAGTCATGGTTGTCGAAAATTATTAGAAAATTCAGGTGAATATTATTTATTTTTTGTGAAGTCACACTTTAACATGGACACCTCAGTATTGTATTCCCAAAATGTCTATTTTTGAATTTTCAGACAGTTTTCTCTACAAAATATATTTCGTGCCGGGTTAAAATGTCGAACAGTTTGTGATATATTCTAATCAATTACAAAGTACAACTTGTTTCGTGACGTTATGTCAAAATAGAACGGCACACTAACTTTATTGCTCTCATAAATACTATAAACATCTATATATGGATTATTTCTTTCTCATCAGGTTTTACGATCCATGAATACAAACCGCGTCTGTATTGGTACAAACCCTTTTTACATCCTGAAACACGTTGCATCTCACCAGTTGCGTTATTTTATGTTCTAAAAATAATAACTTATCACTGAAACACGTGGGTATTTTTTTCACCGTACGTTGGTTTCCATCCCTCTCATGCACATGCTATTGGTACAGTAACATTACCATCCCATGAGTGAAAGAGGGCGTACTTGCGTTATCATATCACTATGATATTAGAAAATGTATTCTGAATGAATTACGTCACAATTATTTCAGAAATATTAATGCACGTCGTTGGAAAATGACAAAATTCATTGAACGTCGAATATTTAAGATTGAAAAAAAAAACCTTCTATTACGCAGACTTTTAGCAAACTACGGCTAAAAATAATTTCAACTGTAAAGATAATTTTCGAGTCTGACTCGTTTTCTCAAGTTATTCCATAGCTCCTGAGAGCGAGGTTATTTGTAGATATGTTGGCGATCGCCGCTGTGTCTGCGGAAGTACTATGGGAGATTGCATGATGGCAGTGAAAAGTCTTTTGATCAGTAAGATAATTTTAGAAAAGTGAAAACTAGAGTGACTGTGAAATAAAGGTTGGTTTTAAATAAAACAATATCATGATATCTGGATAAAATAATGAAAGAAAATTGAACGGGTATGAAAGGGCAGTAAATGTGGCAAGAATGCAAGGTCAGAATCCGGGGGTCAAAATACGTCATAATACATCCATCGGTAAAAGTCTTGATTTGCAGTTTGCGTGAATGGCCGGGGAAAAAATCATGCCAATTCTGTGCTTCAGTAACAGTATTTGCTGCTTTTTTGTGCAATGGAAATTAATTCAAGAAGTGCTGTCAAAGGACATTTTCTTCTAGTAAACAAAACAACCCTGGAATGCTTATCTTGTGAAATTGAGAAGACGAAAATCTCTTGGGACAGTCATTGTTGTGAAACAATGGACATACTTCTCCAGGGTATCAAGGGTAGTTTTGATCACTAGAAGAAGGAAACTGCTGCTTTATGAAGAGCAAATTTCAATGTCATTGGCCACAGTAAGGCAACACCGACTTAATTTTATGGATGACATCCGCGAGCTCATTAGTTTTCGCCTGTTCTCCAAAAAAAAAAAAAAATATCTCCGACGACGAGTCTCCACAGATCGGTTTTCTGTCTGGAACTTGCCGACTCCTATTGTCGCAAAGCGCCAACTTGTCGTAAAACTCGTTTTGGACTACCTCTAAACCAAATTCCGCACAGTTAGATGTGCGTTACGTAAAGCGCAAAGACCTATGGGAAAGAGATTGCCTCAAAACGTGCAAATTTTGTCATAAATGATCCAACATGGCGACCACACCACCAAAATACGCGAGTATGAATGAAAGTTCAGAGGTAAAACGGAGGGATTGTTGTAGACTGGTACGCAATTGACGTTGGCCAGGGAGATGTGACATTTACACAGCTATACGAAAGATCGGTAGCGGCAAGGGAGTCCCGCCCAGACAACTTTAAGGACATATTGTCCAGAGTGGCTGTCTCGCGTTTCTTCTGCAACGATGAGAGAAATGGGAGAGGAGTGGAGGTGTATTATGGTGACCTAAAAGTTGGTCAGGCGACAAGTCAGTTCGGTTGCTTTGTCTGCATTGAAGTCGACAAAACTGCAACGAAAGCAGCAGGATCTCCTCGGCCGAAGTCCCCTTTCGGGGTGAATGAAAAGTTTCTTATTTTTTGTTTTTCATTTTCTGATTCGGGTGCAAGCACACGCAGTCATTAATATTTTGATCATATGACAAATTTTCATCAAGATACATGTACATAATTTTCTGCATCCAAATTTTTGTTGACTCTCTGTTCGTGTTTTTTTTTTCAATATCGAGCCTCTTATAATTTGTTACATAGTTGAAGTAGTTCTAGAGCATTTGTGTTTACACTTAGTCTATATGAAGTGTCACTTTAAAAGCTGTTGTTTGAATGTCAAAGAAGTTAATTTCCAGGTTGCTGTTGACAAACTTATTGTTCATTTTTAATTATTTTTTTTTTCAATACTTTGGCAAAGCTAACATCTGCCTTATCCTCTTGCCATTCCAAAATCAAAGGTGATGATACCTGTGACAGTAATACAGTATGAGATGTGTACATCAACATGTGCCTCCTACAAATAAAGACTTGTTTTTTTGTTGTTGATACACTGTGGTTCAATTCGTAATAACAGCTTCGTAGTCCTGTGGTTTTAGCAGCATTTTTTTTGGCATGATTTTTTTTCGCCCTCTCGCATTAGTTTTGGGGTCTTCAGAGGATGTCATCCATAACATTAAATCAGTGTGGCCTAATTCTAAATCGATGTTGGTTTTAATTGGTGTTACCTGGTGTAAAAGTAATAACATTACGATGTTTTCAAGTTTAATAGTAAATTATTAATATTAAGAAATTAATAGTAAATGGTAGACTCCCTTTTGAATAACATCAACCAGTCTAACCTGGTTGACAAAAATGAAATTCCAACAGCAAGGCAATTAGGACAAATTAATAAAAATATACAAACATCATTTATATCAACTTGGAAAAGTGAATTACAAAACGACAATCAATCAAAACAAAATGAAATATAAATAAATTAAGAACATACAGTGAATTAAAAAAACAACAATTTTGCTTTTTAAACCTACCTTGTTACCCTGCAAAATATTGAGATGCGCAAAAATTTAAATAATTCCGCCTCAGTGACCATAACTTGAAAACTGTGACAGACAGACACAACGGAATACCCTTTGCTAATAAATTATGTAACCTTTGTGATCAGAATCAAGTAGAAGATGAGTATCACCTAATGATGTCACCGAAAAGTTATACCCCGATAGAA